TTCGAGATACAGGTGATCACGAACGCACGGACGCACGGACGGACGCACACAGGGCAAAACATAAGTCCCCGTTTTCGGACTGCGTCCGAACGGGGACTAACAAAGGCTTTTGATTCAACAGACATTGGAACTCTATTCATAAACAATAGTTAATGAAATTCGGTGTGAATTATTGAAAATTGAACATTTCCTAAACATTTGTGCAAATCCACACCTTCAAATAATTCAAATAATGTTCTTCCAAGTCTCAATTTTAAAACGACAGTGATTGACCGAATACTCAACAATTTGAAACAGATGAGCCTTGCTCTTTTGATGGTTATAAAGCACATAACCAAACGCACTTGAAGTCACAACTATGACTCGACATTGTGACTTAGATTATCATTCATCACGTGACAATATCACGATGACACAAAATGATGAACGGAACTGTATTTCCATAATGCTAATAAACGACATGTTCAAATTCTGATATCAGAACCCTTACATATTGGCAATAGTTTTTTTTAGTCAATGAGACAGCTCACGTGTTTGTTTGTTTTTTTCATTTACATCATGTATTCTTGAAATGAATCGGCGAATTTTTCAGAAGTGGACCTAAGTCTGTCGGCATTAGAAGATATGTTACATACTGTCGCATCATATAATGAAAATCCTTTGCAAGCAATGTGAAAAGATACATCAAATAAAGTGACATGTAATCACGTCATAAAATAACAGTAAATACCTTCCAATTTAATACTGTGTAATAATTCTGTCAATCGACGCTACATAGGCTATGAAGTTAGGGTCAACGTTTGCCACTTTTTAGACAGGATAGGTAGGGCTATATTGGGTGCGAGCTGCTTTCACCGTAACGTCATACACTGTGCAAAACACCTGTTTTATAAAACAGTTAGAACAAGAAACTTACTTCTATTATTTTGTTATATACAGCATTATCTGTAGTTTAGTGGGTGCTCAGCGTATACCTCCATCACCGGTCCAGATACCTTCGAAATAATCGAACATTCCTGCCTAGTTTCGCAGAAGATGGCGCTATCACAGGTCAAAGTTCACTAATATTTTTTACGTGAAAAATGGCCGCGATCATAAGGTAACAAGGGAAACCTTCAAAACTGCTTATTCCGGCAATGGTATCTCCATTGTTGGCTCCATGAGCATATATTTTGACAGAGACGAAGACCGGATAAACGTGCAAAATATGTCTGCAAGTCCAGCTACAGGAGTGGAAGCAGACGACCCTTATGATTTATCCGACGACAGTGACAAAGCGGCCCTTCTTGACCATGAACATAGGGACACTGATATTCAATCGAATGACCCACGGGACGACAAAATCCTCACCGCTATAGTAACCCCTGGTAATACAGCTACTTCGGCGAGGGCTTACGTAACAGTGGCGATTTTATGTTTTGTTAACTTATTAAATTACATGGACAGATTCACTGTGGCAGGTACGTAACGATCACGAGACGATTATCACCTGATTGGGTTGATGGCGCACTTCAATTTATAAGCTGTGGTTGTAGTTTGAGGGGAGTTTGATTTGATCATGGAGGTAAAAAAGATTTTTACCTCCATGATTTGATATACCATGACTACATTTGCATAGTGTGATATTATTCTAAACAGTTGTATACAAAATGGTGATATTGAAAACTGCCTGTCAGTGATTTGCCCTGCCACCCCACCCCATTGCCAAGTCACTGGTGAATATTAAAGTGATGTTCATTTCACAGATGTACACACTCAGTGTACAGACCCTCACACATTACCAAACATTCCTTCTCTCATGCAATGTTTCCTTTAGTTCTACTGTGTCTTTTTTTTCTTCTAGGGAATTTAAAAGATATCCAACATTTTTATAGTTTAACGGATGCTGAAGCAGGAGCTCTACAGACTGTATTTGTATGTATGTACATGGTAGCAGCACCTGTATTTGGTTTCCTTGGTGATAGATACAACCGTAAAATCATTATGAGTTTTGGTATATTTATGTGGACTTGTTTTACACTAGTGGGATCATTTATACCTAAACAGGTGAGTATTATATTATGAGTATACCAATATTAATATTTGCTCTATTAAAAGCACACCTGAGTCTGAGAAAAAAAAAATGTTTCCATTCAATTTCTTGAAACAAAAATTGTAATTATTGTATTACGAGGTCATTAAAATATGACCATGGTAAAACCTCTTTTTGTGAATATGGTATTTGAAATCAGTTAATTTTTTTTTTTACAAAGTTGCAGATCTTCAGTAATTATCACAAATACATATATTAATTTTAGATAAAAGTTTATCATTGCTCATAAATTTTTTTGTTATTTTGGCCACTGCCTGATCAGTGGTCTATCCAATATATTTGAAAATGCACTCTCATTTGCAGAATCATTTTATTGAAATATTTCTTCTTTGTTCCCCAATAGAATGTGTGGATTTTCTTTGCAATGCGTGGTTTAGTTGGTATCGGGGAGGCTAGTTATTCCACTATCGCACCAACCCTTATAGCGGATTTATTTGTTAAAGGTCAAAGAACACGAATGTTAGCAGTTTTTTACTTCGCTATTCCAGTCGGCAGGTAAGACCAAGTGAATAAATACATTTGCATCTCATTAATATTCATTAGCTTATTGATATCTATTAGGCTAATAGTATCCATTAGTTCATTAATATTCATGAGCAACCATCACCCCCCCCTCCCCCAGACTGATCATAGTATGCCCGCAAGTATACAACCATGGATAGAAGGGACTGGTGTGTATCCACAGTGGGTGTGTTTTCCGTAGGTTTGCTAATTATATAACACTGTCATGGGTTTCAAATCATGTACATTGTACTCAAAGCATAACAGTCATCCGTCAGCAAGCCTGTGCTCTCGCTGTCGCTCGCAAATGTCGTAAATTACGAAATTTGGACAAGATTTACGAACAAAATAAATATATATTAGTAGGATTTACGAACACATTTTGTACAAAATACCCTTTGCAAATCGCCCTCATTTAATTGTCAAGACTCGACTGTGATCATCACGCGTGTTACAGTTTGAGTGATTGCCATTTTAAAGTTAAATAATGTCCCTAAAATTGTAACAATTGTTACATGGTGATCGCGATCAACACGGAACTGCCACTGAATGTATTTTTCCACTCTAAAGTTATTTTGGTGTCATCGCACATGCGTAGTTTAGTCGACATGCATTTCAAGATACCCCGCGACATTACTTTCAGTATGGTATATAGAAGATAATATTTGGTAATCGTAGTCCTAAATAACTATTAAAAATAGCTAGACATTTCGAGCAATGGCTCTTTATCGATAGCATAGAAGAAACTCTCAGTATGGGACGGTTTCATGTCGCCCTTATCAAACACGTGATTTGTTTATTTATTGAAAATGGAGACTACGTCAAAAAAGAGCAGACAACTGCTCGACGAGTATTTTTCACGACGAGATGGAGAAACCGCTAAATCGTGTTCAGAACCAGAAACCCATGGGTGTCCTAACCCTGACAGCACCAAGAAACGGAAAGTTGATCGTACTGCAGCACGATTTCAGAAATAATGGAAGGTTAGCTGCGGTTCCGTAGCTCTTCGGTGCGACATACAATCTAATTTTGCCCTAACAATTTCATTCGGACGTCTTGTTTTTATTTTTGCTGTTGTATGTCGAACATGGGCTGGCCAGAGTCTCACGTAAATAATGCGGTCGGCAACATAAGGCTATGATTCCACAGCTAATGGAAGGTGGGACAATGTTAGCGAATCGATCGACAAATACTATAATTTGTGTAACATTTTTACCGGGCATTCTTATCATTGAGATCGAGTTACCGAAAGTTACTTTAGTTACTTTTTCACTTTAATTCAGAAATTTCGATGAAAATAAATAGTCAT